TTCCCCAGTGGGTCTCCCGTGGTTCCTCTGCTACGGGCCGGGTGGCACATGAAAGGGGGCTGGGAGCATGGGTTAGAGCGTCTCAGGCGCTGGGGTAGTAGTACCGGGTTGCCAGGGTTACGGTCACCTGTGATGCGGATGTTGCCATGGAGACGGACCACCTGGGTGCAGAGGGCGGCTCCAGATGGGGAAGGCGTGGGAGGGGCTGGGGCAGGGAGGGGGCTGCCGAGGGGTTCTTTTGGGGAGGGGTGATGTGGGGCTTGGGGGGCTCTCTCCAGCCGGCACCCTCGTGCCTGGGAGAGCCAGCGGCAACCCTCCCGTGGCAGCAATTATTTCTGCAATTAACAGCCCTCCTCCTCCCACCGTCTGTTCCAGCGTGATGCGTCGGTTCAGGTGTGGGCAGGGCCAACGGTCATGGTCGGCCGGGGGAGGCTGGCCCAGACATGCAGCTTCGCCTCACGGAGCCCTGGGGCGACCCTCTGCAATTGGGGGCACACTCACTGGTCGCTCACAGACTGATGAAGACCCTGGGGTGCAGATCCAGCCGCCCAGGTTAAGCCCCTGCTCCACCATGAACCCGCAGTGTGAGTGTGGGCTGGTGACCTGACCTCTCTGGGCCTCAGTATCCCCATCTGTAAAGTGGGGATAATAAGAGCCAATCCCTTGAGGCTGTCAGGAGGATTGTTTTTGTTAGCTGCTGTCACCCACCCACCCTCCACCTGGGTTAGAATCCTGGCTGTGTGACCCTGGGCAAGTTGCTTAGCCTCTCTGGGCCTCAGCTTCCTCATCTGTGCTGTTAGTTGCTATTGAGTTGATTCCCGTGCATGGTGACCCAATGTATGCAGAACAGAACCACTCCATGGGGTTTTCAAGGCCATGACATTTCAGAAGCAGATTGCCAGGCCTTTCTTCCAAGGTGCCTGGGGGGGTTTGAACCACCAACCTTTGGGTTACTTGTCCAGTGCCTACCATCTGTGCCACTCAGGGCTTTCCCTCCTCATCTGTAGATGGGGATAGTCAAAGGACCCGCCAGGAGGCTTGGGGGACGTTAGCAAACCGGAGCCCCCAGGGGTCAGAAACAGCTAAAGTTCAGCTGCTCAGTGAAAGGCTGGAGGTTCGAGTCCACCCAGAGGCGCCTCAGAAGAAAGGCCTGGCAATCTATTTCCAAAAAATCAGCCGCTGAAAACCCTATGGAGCACAGTTCTACCCTGACACACGTGGGGTCGCCACAAGTCGGGGCTGACTTCGATGGCAACAGGTTTAAGAGAACGAGAAGGGGTAAGGCAGCAGGCTGCGTTACCGGGTCTATTCTGAGGACAAGGTACCTGGGGTGAGGGTGCGGGTGGGGGTGCGGCAGGGCTGACCGTCAGCAGAGTCCGGATCTTGTCCACCTTCAGAAGACTCAGGAAGCTGCTGTGAGGCGGAGTCCTGGGACTCTCGGGCTGGCCCTGGGTTGAGCCGGGGCCCTCCCCTCTCTCCTCGTCGTCTGCCAGGGCCTCTGGCCACGGCTTCCAGAGAGCGGCCTCCCCACACAACGCCCGGGGCCTCTCGGCCAGCACCTGGAAGCCGTGGGCCGTGGTGACGGTGCGCACGTGGGGCAGGGCCCAGTCTGAGGGCCGCAAGGCCTGCGCCCTGTTCTGCGGCCTGGGCTGCCGGTGGCCGGGGAGCTCGAAGGGCGGGATGCGGGCTGGGCTCAGTGGGCTGCCTCGTGACGGCATGGCGGGCAGGCGGGCGAGTGGGCAGGGGACTGGGCTGGGCCGGGGATTTATCCCGGGGCCAGGAGGGCGGGGGAGGGCCGGGGATCCAGTGTCTCAGGTCCGCGGTGTCCTCGTTTCTCAGTCCCCGCCTCTTGTCTCTGCTTTTCCTTGTCCCTCCAGACCTGTCTCTCCTGTCCATTCCTCCCTCTGTCTCTGACTCACCTCTCCTCGTGTTCAGACACACAGAGCAGGCTAATTCCCCTTTGGCCACTATCTTCAATGCCAGCTCTGCACGGAAACTTCCAGATCCTTCTCTACACACATATGCATAGAAACAGAAGCTCTTCCTAAAAATTAAGATTTGAAGTAAATGGTGTTATATCGTAAGTATTATCGTGGTCAAGGGGGAGTGGTGGCGCGGTGGTAGAATTCTCGCCTTCCATGCAGGAGACCCCGGTTCGATTCCCGGCCAATGCACCTCATGTGCGGCCACCACCCGTCTGTCACTGAGTTTGTGTGGTGCTAGGATGCTGAACAGGTTTCAGCAGAGCTTCCAGACTAAGAAAGACTAGGAAGAAAGGCCTGGTGATTGACTTCTGAAAATCAGCCAATGAAAACCCCATGGATCACAATGGTCCAATCTGCACCCAATCACGGGGATGGTGTGGGGAGGTGCATGGGGTTGCCGTGAGTGAGTCGGGGCCAACTCCACGACAGCTGACAGCAGGGCAGATAGGGGTAAGCGCAGCAAGCTCCCTGTAGCTCGTCTCTGGGGAGCTCTGCCTGGTCCTCAGGAAACTGGGTCTCCCCTCCTGGACTTCCCCGGCATTCTCTTCTCACCTCTGGGACCGAACACAGGGTTTTGTGCTCTTAATTGTCTCCCCACACAACTGTGGCCCAACGGCCAGCCACAGAGAAGGAACGGAACCTCAGAGAGGCTGGAACACTCACCCTGAGCCACACAGCAAGCGGTGGGAGGGGATTTGAGCCCAGGACACTGTGGCTGCAGAGAGCTGCTTCTGGCCCCGTCAGACTGCTGGGAGGCACGCAGTGGGTGGACAGCGAGGCCTGGAGCCTGGGGGGCTGTTTTAGGGGTACAGTTAACGTACTTGGCTACTAAGTGAAAGGCTGGTGATTCGAGGCCACTCAGAGGTGCCCTGGAAGGAAGTCCTGGCGATCACCTTCTAAAAACTCAGCCACTGAAAACCCGACGGAGCACAGTTCTCCTCTGACACACATGGCGTTGACCGGATGGCAGTTGTCTTTTCTTCTTTAATGTGCTTCCCTCGGAGAGAAGCTAGAAGGCCCTGGAAAGCCAGACCGCACCCCCGCCCCTCTCTCTCACCGGGGGGTTGAGGCCTCAGGCTGTGTCATCCCGCAGCGACCCCGAGGACTTCGCCTTTGTGTCCGGCCTCAGACAGGGCAGGCCGGGTGTCCCACGTGGACAGAGCGTGGATTTGGGGGGCAGACCACTCTAAAGACTGGGCTCTCTGCCCCTCCCGTGTCACTCCCCCACTCGGTGTCCGGCTCCCCCAGTTTGTCAGTGGACACAGGGGTGACTGCTCCCCAACAGCACGCGTGGCAGGTCGAGTGTTAGCACAGGGGGCATCCTGAACCCCACTGCCCCGTCCTCCCCTGGAGCCCGCGGCCCCCGAGCCGGCCCGGCAGTGATGGCCTCTCCCCCATCCAGCATGGGGAGGCCAGATGGCAAGGATAGTCAGCGAAGGAAGGGAGAGGAGCAGGTACGCGGGTTGTCTGCAAGGACCGACAATTAATCCCCTGGATCCAAAGGGGCTAATGCCGCCCGGCCCCAGCAAAGCCGGCGGCTCTGCCGTCCGCGGGCCCAGATCCCCGATAAGCCAGGGAGCGAGCCGGTGTCAGATTACCTAAGGCCATCTGGCCCCAGTCTTGAGTTCTGTCCCCATTCTGCCACTGGCTTCCTGTGTGGCCCTGGACACCCTCTGCCTCCGCCTCCCCAGTGGTAGGAAATGCCGCCTGGTCCTGCACCATCCCCCCGCCGCCATGGCTGCAGATCAGGCCAGTGGGATGCTTAGGGTTTCACTGGCTGGTTTTCGTAAGTCAATTGCCAGGCCTTTCTTCCTGGATTTTGGTCTACGGTTCCCACCAGGTTAGCCCTGGACCCTGACTTGCTCCCAGAACCCTCGTTGTCTTTCCTCCTTCACTTGGCCTGCCTAGGGGTGGACAGACGGACAAGGTGCTGCCCCAGTGGGGAGAGCACAATGGGGGACTGGGAATCCTAATGAGGACACGGAGTTTAGGAACCTGGGTGTGGGCGCCAGGAAACAGCCAACCTTTCTAAGAAGGGGCATTTAGGATGCTACCCATCTGCCTGTGTGTCACTGTGATGGAAGCTAGGCCACCAGGATTTCAAATGCCAGCAGGGTCACCCATGGTGGACAGGTTTCAGCGGAGCTTTCAGACCGAGACTAGGAACTAGGAAGAAAGGTCTAGTGATCCACTTCCGAAACTCAGCCAGTGAAAACCCTAAGGCTCACAATTGAACACTGTCTGACACAGTGCTGAAGACAAGCCCCCTAGGGCGGAAGGCGCTGCAAATGCACAGTGGCCGCAGCCACGGCCGCGAGCAGACCAACCACGGTGAAGATGCTGCAGGACGGGCAGCGTTCCGTCCCGGGTTGCCGCGAGTTGGAGCCGACTCAACGGCAGCTGGCGACGGGGCAGACTGGTGCTTGGCGGCTGGGGAATGTGGTCTTGGGACGAGAAGGCAACAAAGGCCCGGGGGCAGGAGAAGGTGGCCGGGGGTCTGCACTGCAGTGACAGCGAGAGGGCTGGGGGGCCTCGGAGAGGGCGTCAGGGCGGGAACTTAGAGGTCCGTTTGTCTGTCTGTTATATTTTAGCTACGGTGAGGTTTTTGGCAGGGCGTGGCCTGGACAGCCGGGTTTTACAAGTTCCCCCCAGCTCGTGTGAGGAGGGGGTGCTGACGGGCAGAGCAGAGACAGGGCTGTGCCCAGCAGGAAGCTGAGCGGGTCCCGTCCCACCCTTCCGGAAACATCCGGCGCAGCTCCTGGTCTCGGGGGGCTTCTGGGACAGAGGCTAGCTGGTGATGTAGGGGTCTGCCGCCTTCCTGCCCCCAGCTTAGCCTCAGTGCTGCGGGACTCTGGGGAGCTGGGACTGGCCTACAGGCACTGTCTGTCCCCACAATGGGCCCCGCAGACCCAGCCTGGACTGTTCCGGTGCTCAGGGACCCCGATGGACCAAACCCAGTCCCCGGACCCAGTTCTCATCCAGAAAGTAAGACCCCACGGCTCCTCAACACCTGAGTTTTGCAGTTTTATTAACAAAACAAAAAAGTAACCTGTACAAAAACAAAAGAGCTTCTGCTCTGGAGGATGGTGTGGCGCGCGGGAGGGGGTAGCCGAGCCCGCGGAACAGGGCCTTGCGCTCTGCCCCGCCCGGCGCCCCCCGGCCCGCTAGGCGTCCTGCTGCTGGATGAAGGGGTTGGGAATGGCCTCCATGCCATCCTGCGGGCAGATGAGCACCACGGACGTGCCCCTGCACACCACCAGGCCCAGCTGCCGCGTGTCCTCGGTGAGCTTGTACTGGTCATCGGGGTCTGGGGGACAGGAGGGGCACGTTAGGGACTGAACCACATACCCCAAGCACATGGTCTTGACCCCACACCTGTGGACGGGACCCTGCTCAGGAATGGGCGTTTTCTTTTCTTATGTTCACGAGCTCATACCGGAGTAGCCTGGGTCCTAGTCCTAATAGCATCTGAGTGGGGTCTTAGAACACAGAACAGACACGGACACACGCAGGGGGAAGACAGACGCCGTGGGAAGATGCAGATGCCAGCCCGCCAGGACTGCTGGCAGCTACCAGAAGCTGAAGGAGTCCTGGTGGCACCACAGTTCATCGCTCAGCTGCTAACCAAGGGGCTGGCAGTTCGAGCCTACCCAGCGTTTCCAGGGAGAAAGACCTCCCAATCTGCTCCCGCAGAGATGACATCCAGGAATACCCTGTGGGGCAGTTCTACTCTGTCACATGGGGTCGCTGTGTCAGAACCGACTCGACGGCACCTAACTAGAAGCTGAGAGAGAGAGAGAGAGAAGGACCTTCCCGAAAAATAGAGAGAACGGCCCTGCCAACGTCCTCAATTGGACTTCTGTCCTCCAGAACCAGGAGACAACCAATTCCCGGTCTTGGATTGTGTTTCCTGTTACGGAAGCCCTAGGACACTAAAGGGGTGTGAGGGGGCCTGGCCGGCAGGCCAAGTCTGGGAACAGGGTCGCCGCACAATCTCCTCCCCACCTCCCATCCCACGAGGGCTGGGGTCAACCCCTGACCTTAGAGGAGCTGTGCCCAGAGGTGACCACCTCCTGTAGGCCAGCCAGTGAGCCGAGTGCCGTTCCGAGAGGCCACCCGGAGGCTGCAGTGACCCAGGCGGGAAGCCTTTCCCCCCGGGGTGGCCCACAGACTGTTAGTGTCGGGAGGAGCATTCTGGAAACAGCTGCCTCCATTCTGCAATGAGGACACGTGCCCCAGAGGAGGCGGGCAGTACCAGGTCACAGCTAATTAGGGGCACCGAGCCGCCAGGGGCCCCTGGGGCTCAGTTCCCATATGGCGGCTGAAATAAACACGAGCAGGACTCCTGGTTTCTGGGAAGTCCCAGAAGGCCCTGTGGCGCTGGTCAAACGAGGCTGTCAGCCGTGGGGTGACGGGGTGGCAGGAGGTTCCGGAAGAGCTGCTGCGAGGCTTTGGGCAATGAAAAGTCCCCCCTACTGTTCTCACACGGTGCTGGGAGAGGCTTGTCACGGACTCAACTGTGTCCCCAAAATACGTGTGAAAACCCTGACTCCCGCTCTGTGGACGGGCTCCCACTTGGGAAGAGTTTTCTATGTCGTGGCTGTGTGCTGTCGAGTCGATGCCGACTCCCGCAGACCCCACGTGAGAGCAGAACTGCCCCCTAGTTTCCTAGACTGTCATCTCTAGGGGAGCAGATCGCCAGGCCTTTCTTCTGCAGACCTGCTGCTGGCTTCAAGCCGCTAACCTCTTTTGTTTTCCCTCCGTTTTAATGTTGTTATTATTATTATTGAACTTTAGATGAAGATTTATAGCACAAACTAGTTCCTCATTAAACAATAAACGTTTTGTTTCGTGACAATGGTTGCCCACCCCACGACATGTCAACACTCTCTCCTCCTGACCTTGGGTTCCCCACTACCAGATTTCCTGTCCCCTCCTGCCTTCTCATCCTCGTCCCTGGGCTGTTGTGCCCCTTTGGTCTCATTTTGTTTTATGAGCCTGTCTAATGTTTGGCTGAAGGGTGAGCCTCAGGAGTGACTTCACTAGTGAGCTAAAAGGGTGTCCGGGGGCCATACCCTAGGGGTTTCTCCAGTCTCTGTCAAGCCAATAAGTCTGATCTTTTTTTGTGAGTTAGAATTTTGTTCCACGTTTTTCTCCAGCCCCGTCTGGGACTCTGTGTTTTGACCCCTGTCAGAGCAGTCACTGGTGGTAGTCAGGCACCATCTAGTTGTCCTGGACTCAGTCTGGTGGGGGCTGTGGGCCATCAAATGCCAACCTTTTTGGTTAGCAGTTCATTCAGCCACTGCACCACCAGGGCTCCCTTTTGTTATGTTAACGAGGCCCTACTCCACGCACAGCGGCATGTCTTATACACCCAACCGCTGTGGACACATAAAGGGAGCAGAATAAGCACAGAAAGAAGACAGCACACGTGGACGGGAGCACAGATGCCTCGCAGAGATCGCTAAGGGATGAGAAGAACGCTACAGCAGCTGAAAGGGACAAGGACGTCCCCGGAGCCCACAGAGGGCCTTCGCCTGGAGCCATGAGTGCGGGCTCGCAGCCTCCTGAGGTCCGAGACAGCAAACTTCTGTTCATTAGAGCCGCCTGCTCGTGGTGTCTGTTCCAGCAGCACTGGGAGACGCAGACAGGAACCGGGCGGCTCAGGTTCTGAAGTCAGGGACCTGATTTGAAATCTGGTTCTGCCACTATCAGACCTCGTGGGGACAATGGCGGCTGCACCGCGCTGCAGGGTTGGTCCGCGGGTGGACGTCAGGCCCTCGGCAGGTGCTGCATGAAAGTAGCTGGCAGTGGACCGCCCACACCTGAGGGCCGCCAGGCACTGCACACGTCTGCGCCCCTCACAAGTAGACGCCCGGGCAACCTCCCCGCGACCCGCGTGGCTGCCCTCTCTGCCCTCTCACAGACGAGGAAAGCCATCTGCCCAGGGAGGCCGAACTGGCAGCCTGGTCAGCTGGAGACCCAGTGTGGAGGAAAGAAAGCGAGGGGCCCCCGAGACGCCCCACGGGGAGTGGGTGGCTGGGCCTGAACCAGCTCTCCCTGCCGAGAGGACGTCTCTGCCCTGCCGCCTGGCCCTCCGCGGCCCCCTCCCCCTCTGCGGCCCGCCTCCCCCTCCCCGGCCCGCCTCGCCCTCTGTGGCTGCACTAAGCTGTTGAACTTTCCACAAGAGTCAGTCCTGCCTCAACCACGCTGCTGGGCTGCCGAGGGGCAAGACCCTCCCGGCGCCCCAGCATCCCTCAGCCAGGGCCCAGTGGTCCCCACTAGGCCCCCGAGTCCCCTCCTAGCTGTCTGTATCACCCGCGTGCTCAGCTGAAGAAATGGTTGGCTGACGGGCTGGGGGAGCCTGACCAGAGGGAGCCTGGGGAAGGGTCTTGGGACTTGGGCAGGGCCTTGTGGAGGATGGGGGGGAAGATGAGGGGGAGGGGAAAGGGAGGGGGAGGCAGGTGAATGGGCAGTGAAAGGAACGAGGGTCCTCTGGAAAAGAGGGGTGGCCACTGGGGACCCAGACCCTCTGCCAGCAGCTGGAGCTGAACAGACAGGTGTGGTAGAAGACAAGGCAGGTTCCCTAGTCCCAAAGCGTCTCCTTCCCTCATAGTCCTTCTAACCAGGCCCAGCACATTTTAGGTACCTAACAGGCAGCCGGAGCCCTGGTGGCACAGTGGTTAAGAGCTTGGCTGCCCATCAAAAGGTTGGCAGTTCAAATCCACCAGCCGCTCCTTGGAAACCCTGCGGGGCAGTTCTTCTCTGTCCTACAGGATCACTGTGAGTCAGGACTGACTCAACAGCAATACGTAACAAGCACCGAAAAACCACTGCATGTGCTGGCAGAACATTTTTTTTGACTCCTGAGACCATGAGCTCCACAGGCTTCGCAGGAACGCCAGGGCCAGTGGGGGATGGAACGCAGCTTCATACCCATAACTTAGACATCGATTCTGTACGTTTCAAACAAAAAGGAAAAGGCCTGTGCTCACCTCTCATGTATTCAATGGTGCCATCGAGCACGAGGTTCAGGAGGGGGTCAAACCCTTTCAGGATTCCACTGGCTTGTAGAAATCACCCGACAGAAGGGAGAAACGAGAAGGCATGAGATCAACATCTGTCCTTTCAATGAGTATCCTCAGTGCCCGGGGCCAGGCAGATTCACACCCTCCCCCCAACAAAAGACACAGATGCAAGGGCCCACCTTTCCAAGGATGAGGGAGTCAGGGACTGGGGGGCATAAGGAGGAGTTCTGAAGACAGTGACGGCCAGCTCCAAGCAGAACAAGACAAATGAGCAAGTGGTGGCCGAGGCGAGTCAGCGGGACAGGGACTGCCTGGTCTGCAAACTGAAGATATTCCCTGTCTGGCCCTTGAGGGAGAAGTCTGCCCGTCCCTGGTGCGGACGGCCACCTGACTGCCCGGGTTTGAGCTCTGGCTCTGCACCCTTCCACTGCATGACCTCCTCAGGCTCCTCCTCTACAAACCCGTTGCCACTGAGTCCATTCCGACTCACAGTGAACCTGCAGAACACAGCAGAACTGCCCCCAGAGAACTGTCTAGGCTGTCATCTCTACGGGAGTAGATGGCCAGGTCTTTCTTCCGCAGAGTGGCTGGTGGGTTCAAACCGCCGACCTTTCGTTTAGCAGCCAAGTGCTGAACCGCTGCCCCAGCACGGCTCCTTCCTTGTCTGTGAAACGGGCTCATAAAGACAGCCAGGTCACACGGTTCAGGCGAGCATCAAAGGCAATAACGCAAGCCAGGCACTGGGCGCGGGGCTGGGCACACGGGGAGCCTGCACTGCCCGCAGGCAGTGAGCAAAACCTGACCTAGTCCTGCCCTTAGAGAAGTACCACCTTGCCAACAGATTCCTTTGGGGCAGAGTTAAGCATCACACTAACAAGCATAAAGCTGCCAACTGTGACGGGTGCTTGTTGTTAGCTGCCCTCAGCCGCCCAGACTATGCCACACAATGAAGACAACACGCTGCCTGGTCCTGGGCCATCCCCACAATCAGCTGTGGATCAGACCGTTTGGATCCACGGGGTTTTCACTGGCTGATTTTCAAAATTCAATTGCCAGGCCTTTCTTCCTAATCCACCTTAGTCTGAAAGCTCTGTGGAAACCTGTTCAGCATCACAGCAACACGCAAGCAAGCCTCCATAGACAAGTGGTGGCTGCACACGTGGTGCATGGGCCGGGAATTGAACCAGGGTCTCCCACATGGATGGTAAGAACTCTATCGCTGAGCCCCCAGTATCTTCAGGGCAGGTGCTACTAGAAGCTTAAAACAAAGGGGCCTGACCTGAGGTGGACAATCCGGGAAGGCTTCCCAGAGCAAATGCCTTTGAGATCGGAGCAGGTTAACCTGGCAGTTCGAGAGTATTCCAGGCAGAGAGCAAACGTGTGCCTTTCCAGCCCTGTGGCTGTCAGGTGCTGGATACATAACTCAGCCATACAGGTCTGGACTTCACCTTAGCACAATGGGGCGCCAAGGAGGGTTTAAGCAGGGAGCAAGGAGATTCAAGTTCTGTTTTTCACAGACCCCTCTGCTTAATGAGTGGAGACTGACTGCAGGGCTGGGGTTCTTCACCAGGAGCGATTCCACCCGAGGGGACACTTGGCAATAGCTGGAGACATGTGTAGTTGTCATCACTCAAGGGGAGGGGTTGCTACTGGTATCGAGTGGGTGGAGGCCAGGGATGCTGCTAAGCCTCTACGGTGCACAGGACGGCCCCAGCCCAGAAAACGATCTAGCCCCCGTCCCCGGCTGGGGAACTCTGATGTCGGGCGAGCAGGAACGGAAGCCCCTGGGCGGGAGCTGGAGGGACAGGACCGCATAGGAGGCAAACTCGTGAATACCAATCGCGGCTGCATCAGTGTGACTTTGGGTTAAGTCTGTTCCCCTTTCCGAGCCTCAATTTCCCCATCTGCAAAATGGGCACAACGGCATCTGCCTCCCGGCGTTGTTAGAAGGACTGCACAAGTTAGTTCCCATGCAGCGCTTAAAGCACTGCCTACGCGGAGAAAGCGCTGCCTAAGAGTTAAGTTGTTATTATCGTTTGTTAATTATCTTAGATCGTTAAGGGAAGGTGCTGGCGGCGGCCGCCTCACCTTCGCGGCCTCCTTGAAACTTCACCCGGATCGTCTTGTCGATGTACTTGGACAAGTCCAAAATGCTCTCCTTCTTCTTCTTCTCTTTGTCCTGCGAGGAAAGCAGAGCGCGTCACGCGGGGAGCACGCCCCGCCAGCCCCACGCCGCCCGCCGGGCCCCTCCGCACGCTCACCGCCATCTTGCCGCGCCGCGCCGCTCTGCGCAGGCACCGCCGGCGCGCCCTTTGACGTCACCCACGCGCGCACAGGCGCCGCTCAACCCCGCGCCTGCGCGCCGCGGCGCCCCGGGGCGTTGCTGGGAAACATCAGGCGACCGCTGCGGTGAGGACCAGCTGACATGGCTGTGGCGGCGGCGGCGGCGCTGGCGCGGCTCTGGGCGGCCTTGTTCCTCCTCGTGGCCCAGGTGAGGGCTGCGGCTCCCCCTGCCCCGCGCCCCTGGGGACGCTTTCGGGACCCCGCGGCGTCCGGCTGGGGGCAGCCTCGGGGACCCGCGTCCCCCGCGCTCCAGCCTCGCGGGTGTGGGGCCCGGAGTAACCGTGCAGGCTCTTCCCCGGCTCGTCTCCTTCCTCGCCACGGAAATCCCCCCTGGCTGCAGCATCACTCAGTTCCGAACGGGGCTGAGGTTCGTGGACCCCTGTCCTCTCCTCCCCGAGTCTGCTTGTCCGTCTCGGGGTCTTCCCCATCCGCCGCCCGGGACGCCCCTCTCTGGCTCTGCGGCCTTGGCCCGGTGGCTGAGCCTCTCCGAGCCTCAGTTTCTTCTTATGCGAAATGAGCATGATGCTAGCACCCGCCCCAAGGGGAGTGGGAAAGGCCCCGGAGGGGGCAGCGCGGGACCCCATGCCGGGCAGCGTCTAGGGGCAGCTAAGAGCCCAGCCCCGGGCTGGAGGGAATCCTACGCCCATCTTTTACTCGGTGACCTTGGAGAAGGGAGTTGCCCGCTTTGAGCGCCAGTTGCCTGTCTGCAAAAGGGGGGCAAGAGTGGAGTTGTGTAGATTAGCCAAAGGTTGAGTGTGTTGTTTCTTTGTCGCTTAATGTTGAAGGTCTCAGCTTCTCGTGGGGCACGGGCCACGAGTAGCTGCTGTCCTCCTAAGTGCATCTTTTTTCCAAACCCTGGTTCTTTCCGGGGTTACGTAGCAGCTCTGGGAATGGTGCGCCGATCAGCCAGACCTCGCTGCTGCTCGTTAACCTTGAGTCCTCCTCCCTGACAACGCTAACTCTTCCTTCACACGTCTCCGGAGCCTGTCCACCACCAGCTCTGCTGGAGCGCCCCCTCGGCTCTCCCTGTGGCCACTCTCACCCCGCTTCCGCCGCCCCCAGTCCACTCCACGCAGCAGGGGCCGTTTTCCAAAAGCGGTCAGAGCTTGTTGCTTCCAGATGAGAGCCTTCGCGCAGAACATCTCGTCGCCTTTAGAAAGGTCTTTGTGGTGTGACTGCTCCCAGAGCCACTCCCTCCCTCCCTTCCTGACTCCCTCAGACAGGATGCGGGTTTTATAGGTGGCACTTTTCTCTCTGGGCTTTTCCTTTACCCTGGAAATTGCTTCCTGCACAATGGCCTGGTTCATCCCTAGTCACCCTTCCGGTCTCCACTTGCCTGTTCCTCCCTCTCAGAAGCTCTCTAGGGCACCCCCTCCCCAGCCCCCCTCACTGCCTCGGTTGTAGCACTGAGCACGTGGTACCCGCCTGTTTACTCTTTCCCCTCGCCCACCAGCCTGTAACACTTTGAGGGCAAGAATGTTGAGCTCTCAAGACGTGTTGTGTGAGATTCGGAAAGCAAGAGGTGGAAAAATCATGGGAGTGCCATGGAGGGCATGATTGGCGAATTTGCCTGGGAAGGCTCTTCAGAAGCAGTGCCACCGGAGGAGGGTTTTGAAGAATGAATAGGAGTTTGCTAGGTTGGGAAGGGAGAGGAAGGGTGTTGTAGGCAGCGGGAGCAGCATGAGCAAGGCCAGGAGGTGCCAGAGCTGATGATTATTTGACGAGTGTGGTCTGTGTACAGGAGGGAGAGCTGACACCAGAGAAAGGCCGTTCAGATGGACCTGAAGGGAGGCGGCAGGGAAGGGCTGGTTGGGGGCGTGGCTCCAAGCCGAGGGTCAGGGCGGGCGGAGTCCATGGAGGGGGGCCCCACAGTGCTGGGGAGTTGGCTACGGAGAGTCTCGGCAGCTCAGAGAGAGCAGTGGGCCCTGCTCTCCCCACACCCCGGCTGTGGCCCCTCGTGGGCATAGTCTGGTGCCATGGGGCGTCCTGTCCGTCCTGCAGTGGAATGGGTGTATTGGACTCCAGGCTCCCAGGAGTAAGATTAACTCTCCCACCGGGTGGAGGCTGCTCGGTGACAGTCCTGAATTCACAGGCCACCGTCTTGTGACCTTGGACGAGAAAAGTGACCTCTCCCACTGTCACTCCCCACCCCAGTTACCGTGAGACACATATGAGATGGAAGATGACAGCTGCCCCCCCGTCCCGCGCCAGCCTTGCCCCCCCTCCATCTTCACATCTTTTTCCCATGATTTCTGGGTCCTGATGATTTCACCAAGTCTTCTGGGAAGGAACAGTCCCCTGGTGGTGCAACGGGTGAGCACGCTCGGCTGCTCATTGAGAGGTCGGAGGTTCAAGTCCACCAAGAGGCGCCTCGGAAGAAAGGCCTGGTGACCTACTTCCAAAAGCTCAGCCACTGAAAACCCTGTGGAGCCCTGTTCTGCTCTGACACGTGGGGTTGACTCCACAGCCAGTGGTTTACTGGTTTCCTTGAAGAAAGACTGCCCCACAGCCTGGCTCCTTGGTGTCTTGGAAATCGGCCCCTTTCGTGGCACTTCTGTAGTTTCCCTGGAGGGTGCTGTCCCCGCTTTGGAGCTGTGAGAAGGCAGATGTGCCGTCTGTGGGCCTGTGTGAACACGGCTGGACCAGCCCGGAGCTCAGAGTATTTGTGGAATGTGTGTCCTTCTCCCAGCTCCTGTAACTCAGCAGGCAAGAAGAACGGTGCCTCTCTGGTGTTTGGTAAAAGCACGTGCTCCTTTTTCAAGAGAAAGCCAGTTTGTTTTGCCGATTTGGGGGAGGACAGTCCACGAAGCCTGATTCGCACCCTTAAATGACCTCTGTAAAAGGCAGTTTCTGTCCTTTCCCGTGTTACACGAACGTACTTTTCACCCCCAGTCTAGATCCCGTGGAGCAGCCTCAGTAAAGGTTCCATGGGAAGGGTCAGACAGTCAGCGCCTTCTGCTCCGCTGGCCACACGTCTCTGTCGTAACTACTCGGCTATTATAGTGAGAAAGCCACAGACTGTGGGTACACGAGTGGGCACAGCTGTGTGCCCATAAAACTTTATTTACACAAGCAGAAGCGGGCTGGTTTGGCCTGCGGGCTGTAGGCTTCGGACCCCTGCCGTGGAACCTGCGCCCTCTCAGAGGGCTCCATGCAGAGCCTGGCTCGATGCCAAGGGCTCTGACTGACCGCTGGGCCTGTGGGGAAGGGTGTAGTGCTGATTGAGGGGTGCCCTCCCGCTGGGGGAGCTGGGGACGGGGACTGCTGACCCTGCTTCGGGGCCTGTGAGACCCCTGGTACCTTAGTCTGCGTTTAGTGAAGCACCCCGGGGCCTGTGAGACCCCCGGCGCCTTAGCCTGCGTTTGGTGAAGCACCTCGGGGCCTGTGAGACCCCCGGCGCCTTAGCCTGCGTTTGGTGAAGCACCTCGGGGCCTGTGAGACCCCCGGCGCCTTAGCCTGCGTTTGGTGAAGCACCTCGGGGCCTGTGAGACCCCCGGCGCCTTAGCCTGCGTTTGGTGAAGCACCTCGGGGCCTGTGAGACCCCCGGCGCCTTAGCCTGCGTTTGGTGAAGCACCTCGGGGCCTGTGAGACCCCCGGCGCCTTAGCCTGCGTTTGGTGAAGCACCTCGGGGCCTGTGAGACCCCCGGCGCCTTAGCCTGCGTTTGGTGAAGCACCTCCTGTGCCCTAGACCTCCCCAGCGGCAGGGCTTATCCGCCTTCATCCGGGCCACGTGAGCAGCTGCCATCATTTGTCACCAGGGTGGGACCAGGGAACCCCGAGGAGCAGAGTGCCCATCCCTGGCCCACGGGAAGAGGAGCTGCAGGATGGGGGCCACAGGGGCACAGAGAGCAGTGTGCCTCAGACTCCAGGGATGAAGCCTTGGGGACGTCCCCGAGGGCTGCGGTGTGACGTGGTATCTAGCACAAGGTGCTTTCCTGGGGCCCGTCGCCCTCTTGCAGGCCCGGGGGTCTTTCCAGACCCGGAAGTGGGGCTGCCCTCATCCTGACCTGCGTGTGGTGGAGCAGCCGGAACCTGGCCCCAGCACCGTGGGATCACACCGACTGGCACGTGCTGGGGTGGGGACTCTGGGTCCTTTGCTTGGAGCCGCTGTGCGGACGGGAGCCGTTGGGTGCTACGTGCCCGGAGCCCAGACAGCTGCCGTCACCCTGTAAAGGGAGGAGACGCCGGCCAGAGGGGGCTACCTGAGCCTGGGCACACAGCGCCCTGCAGGGGGCCTGGGCGCTCGCTGTGGCCCTGCTGTCCTGCCTCCAGGGGGAGCCGCCGGCATTCCCGGGCCCAATGACCCCGGAGGGCCCCAGGAGGCGGGTGGTCCTCATTTCACGGACATGCAGAGTGGGAGCCAGTGAGGCGGCGTGGGGACAGACAGGTCTGGTTCCAGGGAGGCTCACTTCCCCCCCGCCCGGTCCCCCCATGGCAATTGCCCACCTGTCCCCACCCCAAACCTGATGGGGCACAGCGGTCACCCTTTGTTGAGCACCGTGGGCCCCCCTCCCCCCCCGGGTGTCCTGATGCCGGCGGCCCACCCCGCAGGTGGCCTGTGAGTACGGGATGGTGCACGTGGTCTCCGAGTCAGGCGGCCCCCGCGGCCGGGACTACTGCGTCCTCTACAACCCGCAGTGGGCGCACCTGCCGCACGACCTCGGCAAGGCGGTGAGCGTCCACAGGGCCCGGGGTCCGTCCTGGGGGGAGCCCCCACCTCTCCGGGCTGGGCCTGGTGTTCTGGGCTATGAACACCCTCTAGAGGCTGCAGTCCTCAGGGATAAAGGCTAGAGTACGGAGACCAGGCGCCCATCTATCCGGGAGTCTGAGCCGGAGCCGGGGGGGTGGAGGGCCTCAGGCCCCAGTCCCTGAGGGCACAGTGGGCTTCCTGGAGGCAAGCAGCTGGTGCTGGGCCCTGAGGGCGTGACTTCAGCCCCTCCC